TCCCTTGCTAATCCAGACCTCTTTCATGTTTAGCACTAAAGTGTTTCTTATTTTATACATGTAGTCTCACCACAGGGGATAGTCATTGTTTGGAACAGTGCAGAAGGACCCAGTTTAGTGGACGAGCCATTCTGATTTACTTTTATAGGCAGAAATCGTTTTCTAGGCCTTTTGTATCCACAACTTGGTGCAAGAGATGGATGAAAATCATAAATATTAGGTTGTGGGGAAAGGTCATGTCATATTTCTCTGTGCAAAAATGTGTCATGACTTTCTCAACAGAAAACGCAAGTTTAAGGAATTGTCATCATCCCCCAATGAATTCATTGATAATAATAAAACATGAGTCTGATACTTTGCTGAATTTGTTTTTAAAGTACAGGAAATTAAAAGATTTCTATTTGCTTACAGTAATATCAAACAATTGTTATCTGTTTAATTATTGCTGTATTTTCTTGTAGCTCAAAGCGTTCAGCAAACCAGGGTTCCAGGGTGAATGTATTGATATTACCAAAAGTATTGCAGATTTGACTTCATTCACACCATGTTCTTTTAAAGTTCTTCGGGGCTGGTAAGTATGCTTGTTGAGTGTTTTCTACTATTATTTGGTAACTAGATTGCTTATAAATTTACAGAGTTTTCTTTTTTTAAGAGGCTTTTGCCTTAGGGTGCCTTTGTTCACTGGGGAGAGACACAGATAGTGAGAGGGAAAATGAGAAATCATCCCCCATTAGTTCGTACATGTATAGGTGACAGATTTTATATATACTCAGGTATTATTTTACAAATCAAGTTCTTCATTCACTGAGATTGAATACAAGTTCATTAAATAAGGATACCAAAAATGGTTTCCCCAAAAGAACTTTTAAACTAAGTACTTGCTAATCAACATAATTTGATCTCAGGACCTTATATTTGATGCCACCAAATGAAAGAATGTCATAAACTTAAAATATAAGATGTCTTCTGATTTCAAATTATAGCTCTATTATTTATTAGTTGAGGGACTCTTGGACAAATCGTCAAACCTTTCTAATGCTTATTTTTTTTTGCTTATTAAAACAAAGATCTGTTTCCAACTAAGAATTATTGAAAGTGCAGTAAAATAATACAGGTAAAGTGCCTCACCTGAAGCTGGGCACATGAAAAGCAGTCAGTAAGACTAGTGGGCACCACACCTTGAATGTCCTTCTACTCCAGCTTCCACAGCACGATGAGCCTACACTGCCAACTGAGTAAGAGCTGACTGTGTTGTACTACTGTTTTTTAGCTGGCTTCTATATTACCAGGAGGATATGTTTGATAACCAGTGTGTGTTAGAAGAAGGCCTCTATGCTGACCTTATTTCCTGTGGCTGCCCAACATCTAGAGTTAAATCCCTCAAGCCCATTGACTATGTAAGTACTTTGCCAAATGCATTGTTACGAGACTCTTTCTTGTCCAGTTTAATTACCACAGATGATAATGCACAGTTGGAAGAAATGATACAAGGAGAAATATCAAAATGGCAAAACTATGTAAGATTTAATTGTCAATTGTAAAACTTGAGTTTACTCATAAAATCCATCCAAAATGTGAGATTGATTATTTTATTTTTTTAAGCGGGAGTCCAGAACATAAGAATTAGTGTAATGTAGGCCTGGGTGTAAATCCCTGTTTGATATTTTAACCAGTTTGGGTGACATTGGTAATGTTACGTGGTTTCCTCTAGTATTTTATAAGGCATCTGAGACATTAAATAAGATGATGCTGGTAAGATGTCCAATACGTGCTGAGAACTTTATGTATGTTAGCTCTTAGCACTATGGTTATTTGTTACAGTTATAACTACTTAAATGTAAAAATGATAACCTGACCACTTTATTATTCTGTTAAATAAGTCACATGACAGTTTGCTATTCAGGTTTACAATGCTACTTTAAGGCATGGACCCCCCACTAGTACTCATTTCAAACCTTGTTTTGGGAAACTATGGTTTTTCTGCCTGGTGTGTGAAGAATGAACTGGTTCATGTTGAAGGCCTACATTTATAGAGTAATTAGGTTCTCCTTTTCAACAAATTCAGAATTTTAAATGTGAGACCAATCTCACTACTTTGTGAGGGTATCCATTCTGGCCTCTGGTCAGTAGTGTCTTTGCAGAGGGAGTGGAAAAGATCTGGGATATTTTCAAGATATCTAGTTATGATGATTTCCCACAGAACTGTTGAGTCAAAGCTTGAGAATCACAAAGAGCTGTTTAGAAGCCCTACATAAAAGTAGGGATGACTCAGACCTTTTGGTCAAAGCTGACTCCAGGAATCCATGTTCAGAATCTTTGATCTCAACCCAAGTAGTGTAGTC